CAGCATTACAAACTTGGCAACTTGGCTGAAATTAAGCGTAAAGGGTATGACATCTGGTAATAATTTAAAATCATGTAATCTCTATATTTAAGGATAGCCCTGAAATTTGAAATTAATTTAACAAAAATCTGAAATCTGAAATTCTGCCAAAATTAATTCATAATTAAAATTAATTAACCCGTAATTCCAGCCAAAATCGAAATTCAATAGTTCCTGCTGGAATTAAGTGCATAATTCCAGCTGAATTTACATATTTAATTTCAATTTTGGCTGGAATTTCAGATTTCAGAAGTTTGGAATTACGGATTATGGGTTCAGAATTTTGGAAAATCTAATTTCAGGGTCATCTTTATCTCTATTCAAAACATCTCATGTAAACTTTAATAGAAATTTTACTTTATTTTAAAGTTATAAGAGAGGTTTCTAAAATGATCTCATAAACAAAAAAATCTGATCACATGACTTAAAACCTGTAATATAGTCTAAGGATAAAATATAATCCGGATAAAATATAGATCAGATCTGGGATAAAATTGAATCTGGGATAAATCAAATCCGGGATAAAATATAGAATCAAATCCAGGATAAAATATAGATCAAATCCGGGATAAAATATGGATTAATCCGGGATAAAATATGGATCAAATCTGGGATGAAATATGGATTAATCCGGGGTTTGACAATTGGGTGTGATATAATTTTTGGTGAAATTTAAGGAATTAATCTGGGGTAAAATGTGGATCAGATCCGGGATAAAATATGGATCAGATCCAGGATAAAATATGGATCAAATCCGGGGTGAAATATAGGAAAATCTGGGATGAAATATGGATTAATCCATTTTCACCCCGGATAAATCTGGGATTTGATCTGGGGTTTAAACCCCAGACTTTTGAACAGCATGGCGCCTCATACGGTCACAAACTTTTTATAAAATCTCCCAATCTTCCACTCTTCCATTTTTCCACTTTTCTACTCTTCCACTATTTATTCCACCATGGTTGGCCCTGCGGTGTTCATTGCGTAATACAGTATTATTCCTTTATTTTATGTATAAGTACACTTTTGAAACTACTGATGTTCAAAATATATGGTACTTCTTGATAAGATGTATATAAATTGTAAGCGTAGACGTGATTTGTCCAAGTTTTTAATCTGGATATAATATGATTTATGATAATAAGTCTATTATTATATAGAAATTTTAATGGCTGGATTTAGAATTGAAAAAAAAAATAAAATTAAAAATTTGTTTTAGCTATTAAAAAGAAAAATTCTTGGTCACATTATTGCGATATGTGTTTATTATGTCGAACAAAATAAGTCTAGAAACAGTTATATAATAATAGACAAGATGTGAGCTTGGAAACAGATATGTATTGGACAGGATGTGGTATACTTACACTTGGTCGCCATCAACTAAATAATACTAGCAGAAATAGCTAGAATCATTTTGGAGAAAGTATGGCGAAAATATACCTAGCTTTGATAACAATTGAAATAATAAAGATTTAAAACTAATGAGAGTAGAAGGGAATAAAGAATGTGGTGAAAATTAAACCGGCTTTCAAAAATTTCATCGTGAATCCTGTTCGGTTGATCAACGCGTTTTTTACGATACGTTTTCAAAGAGTCAAATTGTTTGGTATTTCAACTTAAAATTACTCCTAAGGTTTAAATATTGATAAGAGACCGATAGCGAACAAATCTGCGTTCCTCAAAAAATTAGCCAATGTAGGTTGGAATATTTATTAAGAGAACAGGGTAATCCATTAAAAAGGATAACAATTTTTTTTTTTATACGATTTCTGAAAATTATTTTGATTTCTTTTTCTATATGATTTCTGTAAAAATCGTGTCTATTTCTATATTGTTTCTGTAAATTTTATACTTGAGGGATCAATAGACTGATTATTAATAATTGAGTTATGATTTATCTTAATCTATTGTACAGTAAGGGCAGTGACAGATATTACCTAATATTCTAGGGGGAGGGGGGGGGTAATTGAAAATCTTAGGTTACATATATACTATATAAGGAAATTACATATATAATATATCTTACCTGGGAGGGTAAGCTCTTATAATAATAAACTGATATTAGGTAATATCTGTCATTGCCCTAATGATCCGATCCTATTTTTGCTCAATCCGGATATATCCGTAATCCGGATTGAATTCGGATATCCGCTCCGTTGATAATCCGGATGAACATCCGGATGAATATAAATTTTTTTTTTAATGATTTTACCGTTTACTCATGAAGTTGATAATGACTACACGATTAACGGTTATACAGTTATATAACCCTTTTTATTTCCTTCAATTTTATTAAATCCATTTTTTTTCGTTAAGAATTGTCATTTTTACAAAATTGATTCTAATAATATTCAAGATGATGATGTTGATGAAATGATCGAACAAAATCTTTCAGAAAGGAAAACAACTAATTAAATTTAATTAAAAAGTAAGAAACAGAAACGAGTTCCTTAATACTAAGTTATTTATAATTAATAATTTTATTAATTAATAAATCTTTATAAACGAAATACGAAAAAAAACTTTATTAGGATTGATCCTGATAGATCCTAATTTAACGGCAAACTTGGGATATATCCTGATTAATCCTAAATTAAGGATCAATCCGTAAATTTTCAGATCCGGATTGTTGGGATTGGATCCGGATGACGTTTTAAAAATAGGATCGGATCACTATAAATGTACAGTATTGGAGACATATAATGTCACATTATCATTAAAGAATAAGTGAATACGCGACCCATTGATTTCAAAATCTCATTTTTTTTCAAAAAATAAAATTCTCAGTATTAATAAAAGACTGTAAATATAAATTTAATATTTACCAATTGTCATTGATAATTATTTAATAATTCAAATAAAAATAAGATACTTTATAAAAATTTGTCATGAATCCGATACGTTATATAATATATACTGTGTTAGACGGCGGAGTATCGCATCCTGTGAAATGTTTTCTCGTCCCTCATAGTCTAATATTAAATTAGACTTGATACTAACTGATTATTTTATGTTATAATTACCGATTTGAGAAAGTGAGAAAAAGGTAAAATAAGAGAATGTTCAATAAATAAATAATAATAATAATAAAATAAGAGAAGTCCTCTACTAAAAAAGTAACGTGATTGATCAATAAGTGTGTTATTGTGGAAAATTATAATAATTTAGATCACTTTTCAAGCCTCCAGCGCAATTTGATATTTTTGAAAGAAAAGAAAGGAGGGCGATATTCGATCATAGATTCCTCATTAAGAATTTCTTTAGATATCTGGATAATATAAATAATATAACGATTATTATTATTTTAGTGGGTTACGCATACAACCAACTGCCAACTGCTAAGACATATAGTTTTACATTTTGACCAGCATTAAAATTAATGTAGGCCACAAATATCAAGTTAAACATAAAAATTCCTGTGTGTATGTGTGTACCAATTTTACGAGTATTAATTATTCATTTCATAGTTCATACCCAATTCTTTTTGATGTGGGATATCCCAAAAAAGGTTTATGGTATTATTAAAAGTTTAATTTAAACTTTATCACGTAAAGTACAATAGTTTTAATATGAACTCAAACCAAACACGTTATATAATAACAAATTTTCTAATCTATTAATTCCAAAAAAATTATTTATTTATGAAAGAGATTAAATTTGTGAGGAGGAAAAGTATTTATAAAAAAAGAAATAAATAAATTTTTTACTAGTTTGTTAATCATATTTACAAAAATTCGGAAATGACCAAATATTATTTTGATTATCCGATCTGTTTACGATAAAAACTATTGGGGAAATAATAAATACCATTTCGAATTTACTCATCTATCCCGCTAACAATCCAACAATCCATTTTAATGTAATATTATCATGGATTTACAATCTAAAATAAAAATATTTAATTAATAAAAATTATACAAAAATCGGTATTCTCGACTTTAAATATCAATACATACGCGGTGCCACGTTCAAAATTTTCCTTGATTTCTTTAGTATATTTATCATAAAATCTACCAATTTTTTCATTGAATCTTCTATTACGTTCATTAATATAAGTAATATCATCTTCTTCGTTAATAGTTTTCTGTCTAGAAGATTTTTCACGCCTAGCAATTGTTTTGTTAACATCTGCAACAACTCTATCAATTGCTTCACGACTTGGTTGATTATCTACGCTAGCATATTGTAAGGAATTTGCGTCTCTGTAAAAACTTGATTCTGTATCTACTGGTACAATTTGTCCATCTTCTGCTTTAATTAAACTTGATGATGCAATTGCTGCTGCCTTTTGTTCATTATATGCTGCTAAATCTGGTTTTAATTCGTTAATTTGTTTCTTATATTTCTTAGTTGCTACTTGATTGTAATCTAATAATATATAAAATAATAAGCAAACGATCTAATGAAAAATAATCTTAAAAATAAATTCTTTCCTAAACGCTTCACTCACCAGTAAAAGCGACATCTGATTTCTTTGCTTTCTTTTCTTGTTTCTTTTCCCATTTTTCAACTGATTCAATAGAATATTCCCAGAACCTTGATCTTTCATAATCCTCCCCCCTCTCTTCAGCTTGCTATAAATTTTGTCAAATTTAATTTTAGTATAATGTACGTTTCTTCAATATGTATGCAAATAATTGAATCGCTTTTAATATTACTTGCTTAGCCAACAATTTTTCAGCTTCTTCGCGTTTTCTTTCTTGTCGTATTAATTCTCTGGGATTGGTTTTCTTACGTTGATGTTCCTCATAAACTTCTTTACGATTGGCGGACTCTCCTTCATCCTGTAAAAAAAAAAAATAACCAAATGTATCTTTATTTAAGATATGAATAATTATTATTTAATTAACACACACCATTCGATTTCGAAGTTTATTAAACTTGTCCATTTTAGCTTTAAATTCCTCAATACGTGATAATTTTTTTGGTGTAGGTTGTTCACTGTCCTCATCATAACTATCATCATTATCCAAAGAACGTTTTCTTTTGACGCTCTGTTCACCGACAAGTGAATTAACTTCTTCTACTTTATTTTGTGCATCATCCATTGTAACATCCTGATCTACTTGTTGTACTACTGAAGTATTATTGTTCTCAAAATTTTTAGTCGATTTAACATCTTTTTCTCCATCAACTGTTTGCGATGTTATAAAATCGGAAGGTTTCTCATGATGAGATATTTTTATATCTTCATTTAGTACAACAGAATTTTTTGAATCCACATTAGGCTTTGTGGGATCAGTAGAATTCTCTTGTTCTGAAGGCATAGAGGGACTTTGTGAATCTACATTAATAGATGGTTTTTGTTGTGACTGTTGTGGTTCTACTATGGGAGATTCTATCACTGATATGGATTTTGTATCATCAACTTTTTCCATATTTGTAGTATTTATAGTAAGAATTTCCTCATCAACAGTTGGTTTATTGACCGGTTTTATTTTTTTTGGTCTACCTCTCTTAGTAGTCTTAATAGTTGGCTGTTGCTCATTCTGCGATTGTTCAATAGAAGTTGTTTCAATAGCAGTTGTTTGCGGAGTAATAGCAACCCGTTTTTTAGATCTCCTCTTCTTAACGGGGTTGGCTGCTTTAGCAGAAATCAATGATTGCTCAATCTCTCCTTCCGTCTGTTGTTGGTTTATACCCACTTGTTCTTGAGGAGTAAAATCTTCACCAACAATAATTTCCGATTGTTTATCTGGCTCCGCTGAAACTTCTTGTTTCCTTGATTTCCTTTTTCTTACCGGAGCAGGTTTTGCATCATGAGTCTCTGAAATATCTGCTGTAGCTGCAGTTTGTGGATCGACTTTAACTTTTTTAGGCCGACCTCGCTTACTTGGTGCAGGAGCAGATGGAAGAGTAGAGGTAGAAGTAGGAGTAGTAATTGGAGCGATGACTGGTTGAACAACAGGGGATGGCGCGACCGGAGAATTATAATTATTATTACCTTGTGGCTCAGGTAAATTTATCTGACCCTTATTAAAACCATAAGGATGAAAGCTATCTTCATCTAAATTAATGAGATTTCTTATAGCTGCTGGTGATGATGATGATGTAGGAACTGCAGGCGTCGGTTGAATATTTCTAATCTTCTCTTCTGATAGTGAATGTTGTTGGACCTCCTCTTGTTTCCTTGCTTTTGGTTTTCTTCCCGGCTTCTTCTTGACCGGCTCTTCAGGGGTTGCATTAATAAATAACAATTGATGCTGAGGAACAATGGTTGTTGGCTGCTGTTGTTGCTCTTGAGGTTCCTCCTCTGTAGTAACAGCTTCTTGTTTAACTTTAGGTTTTCTACCGGGTCTTTTTTTTGTAGGAGCTACTTCTTCTTGTGGTTGAGTTTCAGTTTTTATGACAGAAGAGGTACTGGGATCAATAATATTAGATTCCTCTTGTGAAGAGAGATCCTTCTTTTTAGTAGTTCTAGGTTTCCTTGTTCTTTTCTTTGGTGTTGATATTTCTTGAGGAGGAGAAGTAGAGGGTGGAATCGTAGGAATAGCTTCGCTTACGAAATCTTGAACATTTTGTATAATTTGGTCGACAGGATTTTCGGGTTTAATTTGATTAGATTTATTAGATTTCGTATTTTTCCTAGGTGGCATATTCAAATCTAAATTAAAAAAACGGTATTAAAAATATAAATTTCTAAAAATTTTTTTTTTTAGTTTTTTTTTAGCAAAAAAAAGGAAAAAAAAACTTAATCGGAGAATTTCGTAGTCGCATGTTTAATTAATGAATGGAAGATCAAAAATTTTAACATTATCATGTGAAAAAAAANCTTAATCGGAGAATTTCGTAGTCGCATGTTTAATTAATGAATGGAAGATCAAAAATTTTAACATTATCATGTGAAAAAAAAATTTTTTTTTTTTTTTTTATCACAAAAAAAATCTAAAATTATTGAAAACTATATTATCATGTCAACTTCAGAAGAAAAAACGTTTGCATCGCTGGTAAAAAATTATTTTAGTAATTTTTTTTGCTTGAATGATTTAAATCTTGTATAGGTATTAACGAAAGTACAGGGTATTATTGAACCTTTATGTAAAGCTTGTGAACAATGTAAGTATAAAACACCTACAGAAATACAAGCAGAAGCTATTCCTTGGGCATTACAAGGAAGAGACATAATTGGGTTAGCACAAACTGGGTCGGGTAAAACAGCAGCATTTGCTTTGCCTATTTTACAAGCATTATGGGAAGCACCACAAGGTCTATTTGCATGTATATTAGCACCAACCAGGTAATTGATCAGAAAAGGAAAATTTTTTCTTCGAAAGAAATTTAACAATTTTTTTTAGAGAATTGGCATATCAAATATCGGAATCGGTTGAGTCCTTGGGATCCATAATTGGAGTTCGATGTGCAGTTATAGTTGGTGGTATGGATATGATGTCACAGGCCATTGCATTATCCAAAAAACCACATATTATTGTAGCTACACCTGGAAGATTTCAAGACCATTTAGAGAACACGAAAGGATTTAGTTTAAGAAATTTAAAATACTTGGTAACTATATTATTTCATAATAAAAAAATTTTAATTTTAAAATTAAATTATAATTTTCTTTTTAAGGTTATGGACGAAGCTGATAAATTATTAGATATGGACTTTGGGCCAGTTATTGATAAGATATTAAAGGTTATTCCTAAAGAGAGAAAAACATTTCTTTTTTCGGCCACTATGACTACAAAAGTAGCAAAATTACAAAGAGCTTCATTGATGAATCCAGTAAAAGTTGAAGTTTCTTCAAAGTAAGTTCACTAATTATACATATAATGAAATTTCTTTTTACTTTAGTACTCTTTTTAATCTTCTTTTGATTTAGATATTCTACGGTGTCAACTCTACTACAATATTATTTATTTTTTCCATTAAAGCATAAAGATTGCTATCTGGTTTATTTGTGTAATGAATTAGCCGGTAATTCAATAATTATATTTACCAGAACATGTAATGATACACAAAGACTTGCATTGTTACTAAGGAATCTTGGATTTCCGGCCATTCCGTTACATGGACAATTGTCACAAACAAAAAGATTGGGTTCATTAAATAAATTTAAGGCAGGAAATCGGAATATCTTAGTAGCAACAGATGTTGCGTCACGGTAAGTTAAAAGTATTTTAGAGTTGTTTTTTTACTCTCACTTTCTCGCTAAACAACCTTTTTTTTTGTGGTATTTAGAGGGCTTGATATACCTTTAGTGGATGTAGTGATTAATTTTGATATACCTGCAAATAGCAAAGATTATATACATAGAGTAGGAAGGACAGCAAGAGCAGGTAGATCAGGTAAATCAATTACACTAGTAACACAATACGATGTAGAATTGCTTCAAAGAATTGAACATGTTATCGGAAAAAAAATGGATTTGTTTCCAATTGGTAGTAAAGATGATGTTATGTTATTACAAGAGAGAGTTAGTGAAGCTCAAAGAATCGCTACCTTGGAAATGAAAGAAGAACAACAACAAAAGAAAGGAAGCAAAAGAATTAGAAGTGAAGGAAATGATGATGATTTTAGAGATAGAGAAGATAGAGACATTATCCAATATAATAAACTTGGAAAGAAAGCAAAGAAAATCAGAAGATAGTTCATATGAAAAATAATGTGATATATAAAAGAGATAATTATTGTGTTACTTTGTGACGTGATTATCGTAAATTAATGTAAATTAATCTGGTATTACTCATTAATCGGCAGGATCCCGAGAACTAAGCTACAATCCGTTAAAATCATCATCAAGAATGATTTATAAATAATATATTTGCTTTTTAATTTAATGAATAAAGTCAAGTTGATGGGTATCACTTTTTTAAAAAATTGTTTTCAGTGATCAGTGATTAATCTTGTTATAATTCTTGAATTAATTTTAGCAGCATTACTTAATAGGGAATATTAATTTATAGTGTGATAGACAAGGATTTTTTTATTTTATTTATAGTTGCATACTGTAAGTTTGATTATTTGGGTTTAGTATCATTTATTAGGTAACCATTAAACAAGTTTGTATTTTTCTATTAAATTTGATTTGTTGAAATATGTGTAATGAATGAAATGGTGAAAGAATAATTATCTATTAAAATTCCATTTTACTTGTTCCTTTTTTTTCTTCAGTTTACTTTATATATAACATATATACATATATATATATATTTTTTTTTTTAAATTAGATGTTACAATAATATTTTTTGCGAAACCAACGTTCGGTTCAGTTTTTATAATAAAACTATTTCTTCAGTCCCGTTTCTTCTAGTTACTCCATAAAACAAATAAACTTTTAATAGTTGAAAATATAATTTAACCTTTTGCTTACGAACGAAAAATTATTTCCTTCATTTTACGGTTCAAGAGAATTTACCTTCCATTTCTTCCATTTCCAATTTATAAGTAAATTAACTAATCTTTATTTGTCCATACAATTCACCCTTTAAAAAAAAGCCAAGAAATACGTTGAAATATATTTGTACAAATAATAAAATATTTTTAACGGATAGTATATCATATATAACTTTTCTTGGCAAAAAAGAATAATTATATTTCATGTGATAATAATGAAGCCTTGTTGCTTCGTTATTCTTGTATTTATTTCGGTAATATTTACCGTTAAAGGAGGAGAATGGGGAAATGAAGGAATAAGAGGAGTAAATTCTTTACCTATATCAAGTATTAATAATCAAAACGAAGAAATATCATTAACAAAACGTTGGCATACGGGTAAAATATTAGTAAGAAATCCTGGGGAAGAAGGAGAAGATTATAAAAAACATCCAAATTCATCACAAAATCCAACCAATCAGGCAAAAGCCATTAATGGTAATAATAAGGGAAAAGAGGATGAAACACAAAATGCTCAAAATCAAAATGTTGAAAATGCTAATAATACTGCTAAAAAATTAGAAGAAGAAGCTCAAACCATTAATAGAGTTATTGTTGTATTGGGTTCACTCGGTGCTTCTTTATTATTGGTTGCTATTGCTATTGCCGTGTTATATTGGAAAGTTAGGAGACAACAAAAATTAGTGAAAAGTGTTAGATTTCACGAATCTGATATATTAAAAGTTGGAGGAGAGGGAAATACTGATGATAATAACAATAATAATAATAACAATAATAACAATAACAATAATGGAAATGGAAGCGGAAATGGGAAAGGAGATACTGGAAGTGGTGTAGGTGGTGGTGAAACGAGTATAGGAGATGATAGCGAAGATTTGTTTACTCCAGTAAGAAGTGAAAAATCAATTGTAATTAATCCTAATTCATCGAGTGGTGTTAATAACGGAATTGGTGTTGGGATTGTTGGTGATAAGGTTAATAATGAAACATCAGAATCACAACGTATACAAATTCATATACAGCAACAACTATCTCCACAACCAACTGCTCCACCGGCAGAGAAATTAATTGAAGATAATAATGATTTGGACATTGATATTAGTGGTAGCAATCTTTCTACTCCACCTTTATTAGCTCCACCAGCCTATACACCGACAGCTCCACCAATATACGCTTTACCACATACTCCAATCGAGTTGTATTCAGATGAAAATACTTATCAACATAATCCAGAAAATAATAATAATAATGGTGGGGCTTTTATAAGGATGCCCTTACCTGCCTGGTACGCTGCTGGTCCAACGTCGCAAATTAATATTCCCACTACAATAATACAACCTGCAACAAATTTAAATTCATCCTTTAGTTCACGTGAAAATAATGATGAAAATGATAGATCTACACATCAAAGACAGACTATATAAAAGACATTCTTATGTTGCTGTTAAAAAACATTTTTATTAACATTATTATTTTGATTTTCTTCTTTAATGACTTTTTTTTTTTTTTAAAAAAAAAAAAAAAATAATGAACAAATNTTTTTTTTTTTTTTTTTAAAAAAAAAAAAAAAATCTTGTAGATATTTATATTTCCTTAAACTACATTATTTTCTTTTAGGGTTTAATAAATAGTAGGCTGATATTTTGTAGAAATGGGAAATTGGTAAAAGTGGGATGATTATTATTATATTATGTAAACTTATTTTTAAATGGATTTTATCCTGAAGAAAAGGTTGAATTTTATTTATTATTTATTATTGTGTATTAGTAGCTTAATATTCCCTTCCTTTTCAAACTCTTATTAATTCTTTTCTTTCTTTACAAAAAGAAGGGATATTTATAAAAAAAAATTACGTTTCTTAATATACTTTTCTTCTTTTGTACATAGAGCCTTTACTTTTTTTTAAAAAAAAATCAATTTAATTAAAATTTTATGCATTTTTAACACTTTTTTTATTCGTGTAACCTACGATGTGATGTGGAAAATAAATTCACTATCAAGTAAATTTTAACATTTGATTTAATGAATAATAAATAGACAAAACTCAAATTCAAAACAAGAAAACGTGTAAAATCATTTTTTAAATTACTTATAATTTAATTACGAATTCTAAGTTACTTGCGGTTCGAATTACCACTAGAGCCTCTTGAGGTCACTCCTTTAGACCCAGAAGGTTCTGATCTTGGTCCCGAAACTAATGTACCGCTTACTCCCGAAGGTGGTTTAATAACAGGACCTAAACCTATTACGGTCCAGAAAGATAAAGTTCTTGTACTTTCATCAGCAGTAGAATCACCACCTGTAGCTTTCAAAGAACTAGTCTCATCTAATGTCTTTTCTTCGGTTACAGCGCCATCATTCTCATTGTTTTTACAAGTGTACGTAACCAGAAGAGGAAACTACAAAATTTAAATTATAGTAAAATTAATAATAATAAAAAGATTATTTAAAAAAAAGAATTTTTCAATAATAAACGTACTCTGAATTCTTCAACTTCGGATAACGGAGTAATTTCAACAATGATACTTGTAGAGTCACCACGTCTTTCATAAATACCAATAGAATTAGGTGCAGTACGTGATTTTGAAGCAATTAAATCTGGTTCCTCGTATTCCCATAAACCATCATACGGTGTAATATTAAAGTGTGGAGCAAGAATGTCAACCTTTCCACATTCATTAGTTTCCTCTTGTGTAGTTAAATCCACTGAAATTTCTTCGTCTAATGGGTTTGAAAATTTAAGAACAATTTGTGTACGTTGATTAAGAATAAGTTTTGGTAAACTTGCAATAGAAATCTTCGGTATGTTATTTCTATGAGAGGAAAATTCAATTAAAAAAACTCTTAATCTTAACTTAGAAATCAAAATAAATAAAATTTAGTCTTACAACGCAACAAGTTTAATCTTGAATTTAGTTGATTGAGCTTTTTGCTCTGGTTTAATAAGAATATGCCGACATGAACGACATCTTTTTACGCGTTTAGTGCGAAGATGAATACGTTGTGGCTGAAGACGCCTAAAAGCAATTATCATTAAAATAAAAATTTGGGAAGTAAAATAAATACATTAATGAATTGTCACTCACTCCACTTTGTAAGGTTGATCACTAAGTTGATTAATTCTTTGAGTTAATGTAGTAACTATAATTAAAAATTAAAAATCAGATTTTTTCTCCTACTATAAAAACAGATCAAAGAATCTTTATACTTTGGTTAACATCTTTTAACTGAACCAAATCATCAACTAATCCGCTTTCAATTTCAACTTTTGCAACAGCTTCATATGGTACAATATCATCCGACTTTTGCTGATTATTAGACACCATACCACCATATCTGTTACTAAAACTACTCATTCCCGGAATAGATAGTAAAGAAGAGGGAAGAGCAGTCGAAGGTGTATTAAGGCGCATATGTTTTTCAAAATGGTCTTTAAGATGATCAAATTCTTTAACATCTGGTCTTTCATCTTCAGTTCTTTGAAGTTGTACTAGGGTAAAAGTTTTTTAATTTAGAAAAAATATACTTATAAATATTTATAATTAAAAAACTATTTATATATTTACAAGCTAAACCAGTAGCTTTTTCGAAAGTCATGCCTATTTCTTGTGAATCCCAACGACAAACACCACATGAAAGATAATATGGTGCACCAGTGGCAGAAACAGTAGGTACAGGTACAGTAGTAGGTGAGATAGGAGATGGAGGCGGTTGTGGCTCACTGCTAGGTAGAACTGAAAGTGTATTTTGACAAATTGGACATTGAAAACAATTACGTGCACACCTATTTCTCTCGCTTTTCACACTAGCTGTGGGAACTTCAAATAAGCAATTAGGACAATAATAACTAACAATTTCTTCTTGCACGCATCTAGGGCATCTTATTTGATGACAATCGTTACAAAAATAGAGTTTAGATATAGAAAAAGTAGAAAATTGTATTCTAGGAGAATCAATATTAAAAGTCTCTTCATTTTCCGACTCTAAACTAATATTTACATCAGGACAACTACAATTATAGTGTACATAAGGTCGTATATGTCTTATTTCTGTTTGTGAAGGACTAGACATTTTTATTGATCTAATGTATTATTTCTTATGAACTTTAAGAATAAACCAGTTGAAAGAAAAAAAAACCGTCCATCATCTGTTACACAAGCAGCACCGTCACACTTCTTTTTTACAACCCCTCTAAGGCATTACTAAGTCTCGGTTCAGAACTTTATGGACAATATGAAAATAACAATGTATAAAACATTACTCCGCAAATGCATTGGAAAATAAGTCGAAATTATTCCTTATTATTCCTTTAACAAATAATGATTAATTTATATTTTGGTTTTCGCGCAATGAATATTGTCGCCAGCTTTTTAAGGTTACACGAATCATTATATATAACGTATATGCTGTATACTCAAAAAATTTTCACTACCTTAAAAAAATTCTAAAAAACTAAGTTCTTTAATGAAAACATATATAATACGCCAAAATTTTTTATAATTTAGGCCAATATTATAATAGTATCTTAACTCCGGCCAAAATTACCATGAATTATTTTAAGAAAAATAATTAATTATTACATATATACGAAAATATTTTGGTTTAAATAGCTATTAATTATCATTTTTTTACTAAAGTATTTAATTTTATTTATTCAAAATACAACATTACAATACTTTATCTAAATTTTTATTGGCTGATTTCTAGTTATATGACTTTGAAACAATTTTTAAGTATAGATTTTTGGCATTAAAGATTGCTTCAGTAATCAATAAAGCAGCATATTTAGGATTCTGAAATAGGTAAAAAGAGAGAATGCATAGAATAGGCCAAAATAATCATATAAATCTTTCTTTTTTTTGACAAATTTGATAATATTAGCCAGAATTTTATTTCCTGTTTAGAGATCATTTAAAGTGAGGGAAAATCATGTATTGGATCTTTAATAGAAAGAACAAAATTAGAAATCTTTATCTTGAGCTATAAATCTTGTTAAAGATACTCCTTAAGCTGAATTTGCAATTCTGTAATATGTTTTTTCTGTAACAACAGAAAGGTAATGAACATGTTGTGTTTCTATATATCTTAACATAATAGCATCAAATGCTTCATTCCATACTATTAAAGATTTAAAGCAGTTCATTTATATATTACCATAACTTTTCATTTTTGTAATAAAATAGCATTTTTTTAAAAATCTTTAATTAGTTATGATTTCTTTTCAATGTATTAAATGGTATGATGATATTAGTAATAGTTAAAATAAAACAGTACTTTTTGAAAAGTGGCATAAAACTAGAGTTAGAATAGAATCATTACAAGCTATAGATCATTACTTTTTAATTGTAACCAAAAAGTATAGATGGTTAAATATAAATCGTAATTTCATCTAAAGAACTATTGGTTTATTAACAATTAGAAATAAAAATTACAGATAAGATGAAATTACTATGAGCTATAGATTAGACTACTCCAATTTAATAGTTTGTTTAACATACCCACCCCCTCGTTTTAAAATAAACAAACATATGTTATATCATGTGACTTATTGTAATCATCAGTAAATTTTTTAAGGTGTGGATCTCTAGGGATTCCAAAAAATCTCGTAATTAATGAGGATCTCTAAAAAACCTTTTCCATCAGTGAGGATTTCCTATTAAAAGAATTCTATAGAATCCTTAAGGATCCTAAATTTACAATAAGGAATCTTTAAGGATATTTATTGTTATATTTATTTATTTATTAATAGGTTTATTATTTATTTATTTATTTATTTAATGTATTTATTTTTATTTATTTAATTACACATTTTTCTGAATTAAATAAAATATAAAATAATTAAAAAAAATCTATTTTGATTACAAAAAAATTTCAAATAAAAAAATACACCCATCATCTTTAAATTGTAATAACTTATAAAATATTCAATAGTTTCTTCTATCTTTTCTTGTTAAAAAACCTTAGCTTGGTATTTTTGTGGAAATAATTAATAGGAATCTTTACAAATCATAATTGAGATACTGTAATTTAAACACTATCAGTCTGAAAAAAACATTTAAAGAAAGAAGAAAAAAATAACGAACAGTTAGAAGTGTTCGTTAAATTAAAAAAAATTAAAATAATTTTATTTTTACCTGCCAGTATTCATGACCATCACAATCCTATTAAAGATCAAATTGCAGAATTGAAACGTGGGGCAGATTGGCAGATCGCAACATAATTCCAAACACGTGTTTAATGTTCACCTTTTATGTCGCAAAAATAATGTGAGAATATTCTGCTACTTTCGTTATAAACACAACATTTACTCTATAATGTCCAGAGATATAAAAACCCATCTAAAAAAGAAATAAAAAACGAACAGTTAATAATGTTCATTAAAATAAAAAAATTTAAATAATTTTTTCTTTTACTTTATTAATATCCCACGTCAAAAAAAACCTTAAAAAAGCCTAAAAAAAAGAATAAAACAAACAGTTAGTAGTGTTCGTTAAAATAAACAGAAAGAAAAAAAAAAATCTTTTTCTTAATTACCGATATCTAAAATCCAGAAAGACTTGAATAAACTGCCTAAAAAAAGAAAAAAATGAACAGTTAGTAATGTTCATTAACATAAAAAGAGAAAAAATTGTTTTTTTTACTTACTGGTCTTATGTTAAAAGAGATTTGAAAATCTATCTAAAAAAAAAGAAAACAAAATGAATAGTTAATAATGTTCATTAATATAAAAAAAATTAAAAAAAAAATTTTATTTATCGTAATCTAACCTCCATTCCACATATTCTATCTTATAATATTTTCAAAATTGATCTTGATAATTTTTCAACCCTTCTTGAGACTGTATTTAATGTAAAAAGTGATGCATTATTTCTTCTTTAGAATCTTGTAGAATGGATGTCTCATTCAAAAGATTGAAAAATGTTATAATCATTAATAATATCTAATCGATAAATGTGATTTGTGAATCAGTCTTATATCAGTCCTATGTTAAGAGAGACTTGAAAAATCATCTAAAAAAAGAAAATATATATAGCAGACAGTTAGTAATATTTGTTAAAATAAACAGGAAAAAAAACTTTTTTTACTTACTAATATCCTAAGCTTAGAGACTTAAAACAAACTATAAAAAGAAGAAGAAACAAACAATTAGTAATATTCGTTAAAATAAAAAAAGAAATTTTTTTTTATGCACTGGTATTCCACTTCTGGAAAAGCTCAAAACCACCTAAAAAAAGAAACGAACAGTTAGTAATGTTCGTTAAAATAAATAAAAAGAGAAAAAAAGGTTTTTTTTCTTACGTACCAATATTCTGCGTCTTGAAAGGCTCAAAACCACCTAAAAAAAGAAAACAAACAGTTAGTAATGTTCGTTAATATAAACAAAAAGAAAAAAAATAAGTTTTTTTTTTTTACTTGCCAGTATTTTGCGTCCAAAAAGGCTCAAAACTACCTAAAAAAAGAAAAACGAATAGTTAGTAATATTCGTTAATATAAACAAAAGAAAAAAAGTTTTTTTTTCTTACTTGCCAGTATTTCACATCCAAAAAGGCTTAAAACCACCTAAAAAAAAGGAAAACGAACAGTTAGTAATGTTCGTTAATATAAAAAAAAATGAAATTTTGTTTTTGTTTACTTGCCAAAAGTCCTATTACTTGCCGAAATTTATGTTCAAGCATCTGAAAAAAAGGTGTTTAAAAAAAAAGAATAAAACGAAATATTAGTTAAGGCAACATATTGTTAAAATAAAATAAAAAAATTAAAACCAATGTAAACTTTACTGAAATGCTGCATACTAAAGAAACCTGAAAGAACTTAAAAAGAAAAGGCCCGACCGCCTAAAAAAATAGAAAATGAAAATAAAACATTAGTTAATGTTTTGTTAAAGAAGTAAAAAAAAATTATAAAAAAAACAACTTACTGTAAAAAAATCCCTAAAAAAAAAAAGAAACGAATTATTAGAAACTGTTCGTTAAAAGAAGAAAAAAAAGTTTAAAACTTATCAGAATATCACCTTCAAAGAAATCTAAAAGAACTGTCTAAAAAAAAACAAAGAAAATGAAATTGTTAGAAGAGTTAATTAAATATTTAAAAATAAATAAAAATCTTACCGAAATGGCGGAATCTAACTGCCAACTAAAAAAAAATCATATTTTGTTATAGATTTTGTAGAGAAGGGAAATAATGGGATGAAGAGAAAGGGCGGGAAAGGGAAAGGTGAGAGAGGAAAGAGGAATATTATTAGAGATAAGAGGGAGACAAAAGTTTTAAAAAAAAAATGATCAGCTGGATAATGTATATATCACATGATACATGTGATATATAACTGAATTTTATATTAATAGTTATTGATTTAAATTTGGATTCCTTAAAGATTTTTTTTTAGGAATTCTTAGAAATCCAGCAATTCATAGAATCCTTAAAGATCTTTATAATTTATCTAAGGATTTTTAAGGATTCTGTAAATTACTGGATCCTTAAGGATTCCAAAACAATTTAAGAAATCTTTAAGGATCCATGTTCTAAAAAATTTACTGATGATAACATCACTGATCTGTATAATATTTAAAAGAATTTCTTTCCAGTGCATTTGAATTTACCAAAGAAAATATTTCTAGTGGTATAATAGGACCCAAACATTACATATACAACTCAGTAGCAACTTTTTCGCAGATTGAGCTAAATTTCACAAAAAAAAATCAGTTTTTTGCGATTATCTCAGCATCCAGTAATCTAATTTGTACAAACCTTTTTTTGTTTTGTAGCTCTCATCAAGCTCTACAAAATAAAAAAATTTTGCATGAATCGGATTACTGAATACCAAAATAATCACAAAAAATGGAAAATAAAAAAAAAGCAAATTAGGTTTTTTTTGGCAAAAAGTCAGTTATGAGATGTCCAGAGTCCTGGTATAATTAATAAAAGTAATATACGTAAACTTATTAATTGTATTATCTGTAATAAACTAAGATGTATTTTTAATAAAAATGCATTGAGTGATAAGGGTAGTGACAAATATTACCTAATATTCTAAAAGGAAGGAGGTAATTGAAAATCTTAGGTTACATATATACTATATAAAAAGGTCGTCTAAAGCGGAGGCAAATCACATGACATGATTGTGATTAACCATTTACCGTAGTAACACCACCAATTTTATAATTAAAATTTTACTCCCACATGACCGGTGACATTTAAGAGGTTGTGAAAAAAATAACAAAAAAAACTAAGTCCCTCAGATAAATATAAACAGTGAAAATGTGGTAGGGCATACACAGGTCGAAAAGTGAAAAATCAGGCACCAATCGGTCACCAATCAGGTAGCTGATTGGTATCTGATTAGTAACCAATTGGTGCCTGATTGGCATTTTCGCCAAATACCGTCACCAATCAGGCAGTTTGCTAATTTTTGATCCAGTAATCAGAAAAGGATGAAATATAGCTCATTGAAATCGTCTCAACATGACGAATCTAATGGTAGTAAAATCTCATTTCCAGAATTAATACTTGATGAGAAATTAAGTACATCAGGAAATTATATAGTGCGAAAAGTTGCGCAAGTTTACACATCATAATATTTCGTAAGCTTCCAGACCCGCCGCAAGTTTGCGTAAGCGTAATATTTTGTAACTTTTTAAAATATTTCGAAATATTACGATATGCAAAGCTTCGTAATTTTACGATTTGTAATNACGATTCCAATGAGCTATATTTCATTCTTTTCTGATCACTGGATCAAAAGTTAGCAAACTGCCTGATTGGTGACTGATTGATGCCTGATTTTTCACTTTTCGACCTGTGATAATACCAGTAATGAATATTATGAGGTCATGTGGGGTGAAAAATTTGGTGGTGTTTAAAGCTGCCGCCTGAAATTAGGGAATTTTACCATTTGCCGAAACTGAAATGGTAAAATTAATTTAGGAAAAATACTTAATTCTGAAATGCCGAAACTATTCTGAAATTCTAATTGGCTGTTATAATATCACGTGACCAAAATTAAAATTTTTACCAAAATTATAACTGTATTCTAATACCATAATTCTGGCTCCGTAGCGATCTTCCTGGCATGTATAGCTTCGATTTAAGCCTATGTTCGCTTTGTGTAATGTATATACCATATAAGGGACCGTTAAAGCAAGTAGAATCACGTGACTTTTGAAATTTTTCTTTTTTTAAATAAAACTCTTTATTATATATAAAACCTTCCAAATAAATATATATTAAGTGCATTTTGACCTATTCTGCAAGTTTACTTAGAGCACAAAATGAGATTTAGAACACCGTTTTCGATTTATTCAACTTTTTCAATTTCGTTAAATTGATCCATCCTTTTTTGGGTATGATCAGCAAAATTCGTTTGCTCATATGTAAAGTCAAAAACATTGTTCTTTTTCCACTTTTTCTCCCTAAGTAAACTTGTGGAGCAGGCCAAAATACACTTATTTAATGATTTTCAAGTTCACTTTAATTTTAGTTTATAAAAAATTTATCAAATCATAATAATTTTAAATCACCCTGCTTTAACAGGCCCCCATATAAGGAAATTATGCGTCTTTATGCACCGATATTACACAAAGTGAACATAGGCTTAAAATGAAACTACACGTGTCAGAAAGATCGCTACGGAGCCAGAATTATGGAATTAGAATACAGATAAAATTTTAGCAAATTTATAAAGTCATGTGATTGTATAATAGGCCAATCAGAAGTTTTCGGACAATTTTAGGAGTTTTGGAAAGATTTCGGGATTTCAGAAGAATTTCGGGATTTTGGAATTAGTTTCGGAAACAAAATTCTGGCTGAAATTATTTCAGAATTAGGAAATAATTTCGGGTGGCAGCTTTAGTGGTGTTACTGGTGAAGTGGCGATTAACCGGAAGGATCACATGATTTTTTGTTAGAATACAAAATGATAATTGGCTAAAAAAATGTATTCCAGCAAAGTAAAATTTCTTAAAAATATCAATATATCAATAAATTATTAATAAAAAAATTAAAAATTTTTAAAAAAATTAATTAAAATAAAAAAGGCCCATCCTAGTATTTATTGATTTTATTGTTTTATTTGAATTTAAAATGTAATTTTTCTTATAAAAAATTCGTAAAAATTTCTAATAAAAATTCGTAAAAAAAATTCATAGTTTTATCTACATAAAAAAAAATTTGTAATAATTTAAGAAACCAAGCCCGCACAATAATCAGAACCCAATACAACCTTGTACATTTATTAGTATCAAAATACTAATAAGTAATTCTAATTTCTAAGTTTTTCCACTTGAATTATTATCAAATTGCAAAATAATCAGATTCACCGACAGAGGCTTCTAATATAGAAATAAAAGATTAACATCACCCATCTTTTCAACACGCCAATACCTATCACACATTCTTTTGGTTAATTTTTCCATAGTAATTCTTCAATTTTTAGCATTTTTCTGTTGCTCTGTCTAAACATATTCTATAAATGATTTTTGACTTTCATACACTTCAAACCCACTTTCTTCAAAAATTTCACAAAATATTTGCCATACATCGGTAGTTAACAATTTATTGCTGTACATGTATTCGTGAAAAATATGCTTGCAGGGCAATAAATATCGATAGTGAAACAAGCAGAAATAATCAAGAGAAGTAAGACCTGTCGTACTTTTTCTTTTTTTAAGTCTATTCATCACAGCACAGGCTTCTCTAATGATTAATTGTTGAAACAGGAATGGGAACTTTTGGATTTCTTCAAGAATATCAATATCAACACCATACGCAGATATTTTCTTGATACAAAAATCAAAAGATGCACTTTTGGCTTCAGATCTTTTTTTGCAATCAACATTGACAACTTTATGAGCAGCACCTAAAATATAAGAGTTTTGAGTTGGGCATACGGGCAAAATAGCCAAATAAAAATCATCATGTACAAATCAATTCATGTGATAAAAATGTTGTTTCTTTAATTCACTATGAAAAGATTTTAGCAAATTCGTTAAAATGACTTGTAAAAGCAGAGGGAATGTTGCCGAGCCCATAAGCCTTATTTCTCAGTATTTTTCATATAGTTCCTTTTAATATAACTTTGTATAGAAGGAACGGGACAAAAATTAATAGCATCTTGAATAAGACTTTCGCATCCAATCTTTGTTCTTTTATGCATCACCGCGATCATAATGTCTCAAGTTTTTTTTCATGAATTTTTTGCATCCACATTCTCATAATATGGACAATGCAAAGGAGAACTTGGCACTCTTGTTCACCAGCGGTCATGCCAGGAAATGTCTTTTTAATGCTCTTAGCTTTGATATTACTATGATCTGAAAGTATGTAACAGGAAGAATAACAACAATACTTATTGCAGATTATTATTAAAGTTTCTGCAACTGTATCTGCATCTTTATTATTTACAAAAAAATAGGCATTTATGTTCTAACATTTATAGGTATTACAGACGTAAAGAGTAAATAGATGCCAATCATACCGATTTGTTTTATGTGTTGAATCTATAAGTGTCAACCATTCATGATGCTCAAGCTTCTTTAATTGTTCCGGATGCACAAATACAATACCTCTGGTAGACCATTAAGAGATGCAATACTTTTTAATATGATATCCCTGCTCCGTTAAATAAGAAATAGAATTTGAAATATCTAATTTTAAGTTCAGATTTCCAATAAGATAAGTTTCTGCAAGCCCACGAACTTTATATTTGATGTTCGCTATTTTTTTGCGCTTCAGCAGATATTTAAACTTCAAAATTCGCAATGTTCTGCAATACCACAAATTACAATTATTCTGCAATTGCCTATTTGCAGCGCTATCTTTAACTGTAATTAAACAGGACTCCGCTTACTTATAAGATAAGTCACCCCAGGCCTAAGGTAAAAATCATATATAAAATTCTTTACAGATTCTACTATAAAAGGAAATTTTATGTTACATTATTATGATTTTTTTCTTTTTTAGATAATTGACCAATAGAATTTAAAAAAAAAGTAAAGTAAAAACTATTAGTAAAAGGCTAATTTTCTACAGTGACCTTTATTATAAGTAAGCGGGATTCTAGCTAAACACTAAGATAGATAAATCCACTACTTTCCAGTATTAATCAATTTTTTGAAGTATTAGTAATGCTATTTCACTTTGACTAAATTCTTCTTTTTTAATATAATCGTTTAGATATTGTTAGATTTCAAAAAATAAAAATCTTATATTAGAAATGAGATATTTTTAACTAAAAAAAAATGTTTTTTATATTTCTTTTAATGAAAAACGTCAGATTTTACATTTTTTCATTAAAAAAACTTTTTTTTTATTTAGTTTAATGAAAAATGTCAGATTTAACATTTTTAACTAAAAAAAAAGTTTTTTTATATATCTTTTAATGAATAACATCAGATCTGACGTTTTTGTTTAATTTAATGAAAAATGTTAGGTTTGATATTTTTAATTAAAAAAAAATTATTTTATTAAAAGAAGATGTGTTTTATTATTATTTTTAATAAAAAAATGTTAGATTCAGATTTTGGCTATAAAAAATGCTAAAATGTTTTTTTTTTTGATACAAAATATATCAGGTTAACAGGTCAGGTTGGGTACCTGACTGTAACTGACCTGACCTGAGATCAGGTTATTAAATTTGCTATAGTAACTGTCATCTATAAATAACAATAGTCCAAAATTTTAAAATTTATTTATGAAAAAATGTATTTGTAATAGCCTGTTACATATCTTATTTGTAATATCCTTTTTTTATTTTTTTTTAATAATAAATTTAATATGTGTTTCACAAATAAAATTTTTATATGCAAAATTTAATTTGGAAAACTTTTACTTAATGTACTTAAGACAGTTTCATAGACAAAATTTTAAGTTATAAGCAGTTTCTTGAAATTTTTTAAAAAATTTTTTTGTCTTAGTTACACAACTGATCTTTTGTTTTTGTTTACATTATGCCTAATCTTAAATTTTAATTGGATAAAATTGGGGTTGTTACAAATAAGATGCGTAACAGGCTGTTACAATTAGATTTATCCTTTATTTATTTATATTGTGTAACTTATGTTTTAAAGTACTTTGTCAAAATATTAATTTTTTTTGCCATATTACATGGAATTCTTGTGGATTTCCATAAAATTTTTGTAAAATCCATAAAAATTACATGAAAACTAGTCCAAAATTTTATATTTTTATTATTTTTATTATTGCTACTTATTAAAATTATCTAACTTTAACCCATAATATTAATTAAAATTCTTAATAAATTCTATAAAATAATCTGATAGAAATGTTCAGTACATGTTGCTCTATCATTTTATCGGTTTAGTTTCTTTTTTTTACTATTCAATTTACAATTTATAAAAATTTGAAGTCACTTAATATTAGTGTGGTTTATAGGTGACAGCCACTATACCTGATCCAAATTTTTCAGGTTAACCTATCAGGTCATCTGATCTAGAGGTATGCTCTGAATCCGGTCAATCCGGATATCCAGTCATCCATCTGAAATTTGACTAGATTCAGATTGATCCGAATAATTCATCGGATTGACCGAATGGATTATCGGATATCCAGTCAATACTTGCTCACCAATTTGACCGGGATATCTGAATAATCTGGTCAATCCAGTGAATCCAATGAATCCGAATTCAGTTTTTTCTACTTAATACTTTTTATTAATATTAATTAACAATTAGAATTTTATAATAATAAACATAGTATTTATTTTTACGTTATTACAAATGATTTTTAACAAATTAGTTGACACAATATTTATAAAAAGTTTAAGATTTAGATGTCCAAGAAGGTGTCTCCCTAAAAAAAAGAAGCAAAAGGAACGTTAATTACGTTCCTAAAAACAAAAAAACAAAAATACTTTTCCCCCAACTTACCTTTATAACCCATGCCGAAATCTAGGTCCAAGAGGCGTCCTTCTAAAGAAAGAAGCAAAAGGAACGTTAGTTACATTCCTAAAGACAAAAAAAAAAGATAAAAAACCCTTCCCCAACTTACTTTAATAGCCCAAGCCGAAATCCAGGTCCAGGAAGGGCATCACCTAAAGAAAAGAAGCAAAAGGAACGTTAATTATGTTCCCAAAAACAAAAAAAACTCAAAAATAACCTCACCAACTTACCTTTATGAAATCCAAATCCGGGAGGACGTCTCCTAAAGAAAAGAAGCAAAAGGAACGTTAATGACGTTTCTAAAGACAAAAAAAAAAGATAAAACACCCTCCCAACTTACTTTAATAGCCCAAGCCAAAATCCAGGTCTAGGAAGGGCATCACCTAAAGAAAAGAAGCAAAAGGAACGTTAATTACGTTCTTAAAGATAAAAAAAACTCAAAAATAATTTCCCCAACTTACCTTTATGAAATCCAAATCTGGGAGGGCGTCACCTAAAGAAAAGAAGCAAAAAGAACGTTAATTACGTTCCCAAAGACAAAAAAAACTCAAAAATAACCTTCCCAACTTACCTTTATGAAATCCAAATCTGGGAGGGCGTCTCCTAAAGAAAAAAAGCAAAAGGAACGTTAATGACATTCCCAAAGATAAAAAAAACCCCGAAAATACCCTTCCCAACTTACCTTTATGAAATTCAAATCCGGGAGGGCGTTTCCTAAAGAAAAAAAGCAAAAGGAACGTTAATGACGTTCCCAAAGACAAACAAAAAATCAAAATTACCCTCCCCCAACTTACCTTTATAGCCCAAGCCGAAATTAAGTTCCAGGCAGGCATCCCCTAAAGAAATGAAGTAAAGGAACATTTAGTGACGTTCCCAAGATAAAAGAAAAAGAAATTTACACTTACTTTTTGAAATTCAAGCAGTCCAAGTCGTTCCGAAGTCCAAGTCCAAGTCTGTCCTAAAGAAAAAAAGGTGTTTTTTTTTTTAAAAAAAAACATTTATGTTAAAAAAAAAAAAAAAAAACTTTATATACGATAAAAAAAATATATAACCATAAAATTAAGATAAAAAGAGAAAAAAAAAAAAAAAAAGTTATGAATTTGACCAGATTATCTGATCAATCCGGTCAATCCAGTCATCCGTGTAATATCCGATCAATCTGATGTTATCCAACAGATCCATCCAGATTATCCGCAATCCGTTCATTCTTAATCCGGGTGATCCATTTTTTGATCGGATCAGATGACGGATTGAACGGATTTCACCAGAGCACACCTCTAATCTGATCAGTTAGGTTAAATTCAGAGTTTTACGAACAACTAATTCTAACAATCAGTTGAGTAAGAAGCAAAAGGTAACTAAAGAAATCAAGAATATAGATTAAGACCTTAGGCGGTATTGATAAGCTAACTATATTAACAGAAATAAGGTTAATGCTTAAAAAGCTAGAAGCATCTTGATAAGTTCAAAAGAATGTTCTGATAGTCTTAATTTTAGGAGTGTAGTTGTAGTATGATGCCACTTACTTATAAGATAGGTCACTTCTAAGCCTAAGGTAAAAATCATATATAAAATTCTTTGCAGATCTTACTATAAAAGGAAATTTTATGTTACATTGTTATTATTTTTTCCTTTTTAGCTAATTAACCAATAGAATTTAAGAAAAAAGTAAGGTAAAAATTATTAGTAAAGGGCCAATTTTCTATGGTGACCTTTATTATAAGTAAGTGGGATCCTATCTATATCAGTATTACTAATAATAACAAATGGTGATATTCCATTATTTATCTCATTAAGATTGTTTTAAAATTTATATGTATGATGCTGATGTTTTATTTAAAAGTAATGTTCTGTATAAATTGATTTATAATATATGTAATTTTAATTAATTCTGAGAGTAAAAATATTTTTTCAAATAACTTTTAATCTAGTAGTCTGATTTTAACAATTTTTTATTTTAATTAGGGTAATGAAAGTTATTGATTAAAAAAATTATTAAAATTAAATTAAAGAGTTTACAGATATTACATAATTATTAAAGAGGGGAAAGAGGTAACTAAAATCTTATTTTATATTTAATAAAATTATATAATACAATTTGATTGATTATTAAATCTGAAAAGAAGAAGTTAAACTGAATATCACATAATATTATATAATTCCTATCCTCTTACTAGATTATAAGATATTTTTTTGAAATTCAAATTGAGTTTGAGACTTTAAGTCAAGTCTAGTAAATCAAATTAAATATTAAAAAAAAATTCAATTT